AATTTTTATTAAAAATGGAAAAAAAAAAAAAAAAAAAAAAAGCAAATGTGAGATAAAGCAGAGCAATAGTGCAGAGCTGTTATTTTAAGTAAGCATTTCTGTGCCTGTTAGTATTTTTTGTTTGATTTTTGTGGAGTGCTTTGTCTTATTTCCACTGGTGTCAATCTTCATCTAGGAACTTCTATATTTGCAGGCAGGTAACCCTAATTCCTTTTTAATGACTTTTTCTCTTAGTGAATCAATACTTAATTTTAAAAGGTTTTCCTTACTTCCTAATCATCTCCTTTACTTTTCCTTGTTAAAGGCACATTTAAAAGAAGAATTCAATAGCTCAGTTATTGCAGAGGCATTATTACATTTCATATAGAAATATATGAAATATAGACTGCATTACATTACATTTGGAACTGTGGCTGTGGATTTTTCAATTTAAACTGCATTTCCCTCCTACTATTTCTACATTCTCATTCTCTTTGTTTCCTCTGGTTAGTGTTGCTCCACTCTGACTATTTGTTGTTCTTGGCTGTCCCTATAGCTTTTACCCAACTAGAATCTCTCTGTTATCTTTACTTCCTTTGTGTGTATGCTAGCCAATAAAAGCATATCTATATCAATAGCTAGTTAGGAATGGTTTATAGTTTAGCATCGTCCGTATTATTGTCACTACTCAATGTAATCATAATCAAAAGAAAAACTACTTTGACATACTGGTTAAGATATACTTTTGTTTTTCAGTATTCTCTTCCTTTGGCTTTACTCTCTGGTGTTTTTGAGGTTCTTTTCTCTCCTATTTACTGTCAGATCCTCTACTGTTTGAATTTTAATTCTCTGTTGTCACAAAGCATTTGTTCTGCACTTAAAAAGACTAGCTGAGTAGAACTATGCCATAACATTTGGGATTTAAAGAATAACTTGGTCTGCTGCAAAGAACTAACACACTGTGAATTGTATATATATTTTTTGACTTAGGCCATTTTTTTTCTCTGTTTCTGTCCTTCGAAATACTTCAGATGCAAGAAAGAAAAAATGTGAAGAAAAATAAGCAGCTTTACATACAATAAATCATTTTAAAAAATGAACAACTTCCACAAAAATGTGGAATTCCATCAACTACTCTAAAGGTGTACTACTCTCCATGAAGAAGCTAAGAAATGCAGGCAGAAATATGAGCCAGCAAGTGAATAAAATGATGCATCAGCACTGTCATCCCATTTTCTTAAGTACATGAAGACTTCATAGAGTGAAACTGAAGCTACTAGATATCAGTAATCTTTTTTCAGAATCTTCCTCATTGAAATCAGCTGCTTTGTGAAGGTGAAGACCATCTTCAAATGAAACAGAATAAAACCCAAAGTATGACTGGGGTTATTATGAAGTATCAACAGAGACATTTATGTTCTTTAGCAGCAGTGGAGTCCAAAAATACCAACTGTAACATTAACATTTAGTTCCCACCTATACTTGCACTAAGCAAGCCCAAGAAAGATGTCTTGTTGCTTCTCAGATTTTCAGACTGGTGAACTGAGCAAAATGATTGTGATATTTTTTTGACAGTTTGAAGAAAAACGAAAATGGGAAACCACACTTGAAAAAATTCATTACCATACAACATATCCTATACAGCTCAAAATATTGACAGCACTATCTTTAGGTGAAATTCAAGCAGCATACTACACTTGCATTTGCCTTCAGCAAATGGTGATTCTCAGGAATCATAAAGAGCGTGTTCCTGTTACCATCACAAACTACACAAAGACAGAATCTTAACCCATAACTCAATAACCCATAACTGAATAGACTTTTAAATTACTCATTTTTTAGTCTTTTTCCTCCATCAGAAAAGTACTACACTTCTTCCATAACTTCAAATCGGTTTCCTTTATATAAACTTATCAAAAAAAATCTATTTTTTTCTTGGAAGTAGCTCTAAGAGATTATTCATAATAAATATAAGCAATGTTTTCTAGTACTTCCTACTGAATTTTTAATATCCATCCCAATTTCACCTAATCTATCTTTTTGTATCTCAAGAGAAACAGTACAACAGAAGCACAATGAGGTTAAAGAAAGCTGTCCGTTGCAATAAAGACAATGCCTAAACAGCTGTAATTTAGGATAAGACTTTTATTAAAATGATAACAAATGTAAAAGATTAGTGGAATATCAACAAAATGTTACAGCCATACATTTTTAAAGACTGAGCGTTCCATGATGATTCAGCCTCAATCATCTGAGATTTCTTGTATATCAGACTAAATAGCCCCTGTATTCAAGTCAAAACTTCATTATTGGTAATAAATGTGTAAAAAAAAAAAAAAAAAGGTTTTTAAAATGAAATTGGTATCCAGTGAGGTTTGAGTGTGAGGTGGATCCCCTCCTATTGATCCTTGCTAATACAGCCACTCCTTCCAACATGAGCAGTCTCTACCTACTTCATAGGAAGTGAAATAGGTAGATGTGAAAAGAGCAGACAGACGTCGACTCAGATAAAGGACAATATGCAGCTGTATTTTCAACTCGCGATGGAATTAAGCTCTGCTGTCACCACGGGACTTGCATACAGGCAAAAGCTGCCTGAATTGGGGAATTCCTAAAGGGGTCCATGTCTCTCCATAAAGTATTTTCAGACCACAAGTGTTAATAATACTCCATTTGCTTTGATTTTTAAGAAAAAGTATGTGAGATTTGCAGAAGAATGTTTCTGTTTAGTTTTTAACCTTTACACCTGTTTCCTAGAACTTTCAATTGGAAGGGAGAAGCTTTCCCCTCTCCCCAATGCCTGTGCATTTTTCACATCTTTTTGCATTCATTCAGCATTTGATTGAAGAGTTAATTCAGCTCCACTGAACAATGATAGATGTAATGAACAGAAAGGTCTTCCAATATGAGAGATATTCTTCTCAATTCTTTCTGACAGGCAAGGGATGGTAAATAGACAAAACAGAGTCAAGCTAGGCAGCAAACTCGCAAAAAGAATGACTCTGGTAATGTACAAGGACAGCATGCACATCAATGAATACTTACATAAATGTCTGCACCATAAAATCCATCCTGGTATACAACACTGCAAGGATGCACACACAAAGAAAAACATCCATATTAGTGCATTTCCACATGCAAATGCCACCAACCCCGGCAGAGCTGGGGTTAGTCGTGTCGCAGGAACAGAGCGCGGGGGGAGGAAGGCGCTCTGCACATTGCTTAAGGAGGTTGGCAGGAGTATCAGAGGTGAAACTACTGAAAACAGGATCTTTATCAAGCATGCCAAAAAGACAGGCAAGCATGGCAAAATTGCATAAAAATTTTGATAATTTTTTTAAGAAACCTCAAATTGCCAGCATTTTTTCTTTTCTTTCTTTTTTTCTTTTTTTTTTCAGTGGGCCAATCCTGCCACCAGTATTGCTACATCACCATAATGTTAATTCATAAAATACTCCTTTCCTGCCCTGTCATTCTGTCAGCTCTCAGAAAAAAAAAGCAGTCTCTGTCATTCAAAAAAAAAAAAAAAGAAAAAATAAAATAAAATAAAAGAACAGTGTACATAGCTAGGGAACGGTGATACCCTACCCCTTGGGTCAGAGACCTTGCTAAGTCAACCTACACATACACAGGGTACTCAGAGACATTGTCCTCCTGACTTGATAAACGATTGTTAAGAATATCATAGCATTATTCATAAAATAGAAGTATTAACTTTCCTTGCTTTATCAATTTACAACGTTGGTGAACATGATTATGGTTCCAAAATCACCCTGTAGCTTTGGTTGGGCATATCACTGCTTAAGTGAAAAAAATGTAGTATTGTTATGTTGCTGCCAACAGTTCACCCACAAATTGCTGCATTTCAGCTAAGATTAATTAGTGTGACTTGTTTAAATTTTAAATTCTAAATCCCTTCAGATGAAAGACACAACATGGCAAGGATGGCTTAAATGGTTACGCAGAGTAAAGCTGGAACTGTGCAGTAGTGGCCTACCAATTACATATGTAGTATAAAACCTGCTGTTTTGCTTTTATTTTGACAGCTCTGCAACATAAAATAGGCGTAGCAAATAAAATCAGCCCAAGAGTTAAATATGGGAGCACACAATAGGCCTTTTTTTTTTTTTTTTTTCTTAACAGTATTTTCAATTTGGGAATATTAGTTATCAAGTTGCTATGCTATTCTAAGCCACTCAGCACTATTATGAAGAATTTTCACATCAGAAATACAAGCGATCTATTAAGCTCACACTCCTGAAACTGAAGGCTGAATTGCTAAAATCACTGCACTTGACAAAATCATACATATGCATATGAATACATATAAACCACATTATACTTTATCAATGACAAAAGTTTACTATAAAATAATAATGTAGCAAATCCCTGGCTCACACTCAAATCCATATGAGTCCCTGCCACTCACTTGA